TAGCTTATCAATGTGTTCCTCAACTTCTTGAACCAGGCTTTTGGAGCCTGTTTCAAACCATACAATATTCAGCTTGCACACAATTTTGAATTTTTCTAATTCCTCAAAGCCTTCAGGTTACTACATATAGATTGATTCTTGAAGATCATTATTTAGAAACACATTATTGATGTCCAGTTGTCTAATTTTCCAACCTTTAGTGATATATATAGTTAAAATTATTCCAACAATTGAAGCCTTCACAAGAGGGCTGAAGGTCTCTCCATAATCAACACCTACATTTTGATGGAAATCCTTTGCTATAAATCTTGTTTTACACCTCTAAAAGTTGTCATCCATAGTTCTTTTGATCGTGAATGCTCATTTCTTACCTACTATGTTCATAGATGGTTGCAGACGTACTAGAGACCATGTACAAATTTTCCTTCAATGCTTCAAACTCTTCATTCATGGCCTTCTTCCATTCTACTAATTTTAGTGCTTTATCAGTGGAGATTGGTTTTGTTAGTGTGGTTTGGAATTAATAAGAAAAAATTAAAATTCTAGAGGATACATTTTGGGCTTGAAGATTCCAATCTTTGACATGTCTGTTACTGTCACTTTATACCTCATATTCAACAACTAGCTGTTCATTTTCCACAAGCACTGAATGTTTTAGCTGATTTGATTCAATTGAATCACTATACTCTTGTTCTTGTATCTCATTATCAAAGTCTGGATAATCACGAAAATCTAAATGTTGAACATTAAGCTCCTTTCCACTTACTTACTATTTTGATTGTAAAAATTTAGACCTGTTTTCTAGAGAAAGGCCTACTGCATAAGAAGTATCTTGGTAACTTGTATTGGTCATAATTTGTTTAGGTATAGAGAAGATGTTTGTGTTTGGTGTAGTACTTGAGAGCCAATTTGGCATAGCTATCATTGTTTGATTCTTTAGTAATTTGGTATTCAGGAAATTATCACAAAAAGAACATTTTTATTCATTAGACACTACATATCTCGAAACATATATTTTTCCAGTTAAGCTTAGGCACTTGAATTCCTTGTGTGAGTTACTATATCCCAAGAAAAATGCATTTTGTAGAGTGAAATTAAATTTTTGATTTTGACAGGGTCTCAAGCAAGGGTAACATACACAACTGAATGTTTTAAGAAATAGATAGTTAGGTTTTGTGAAACAATTTCTCTAGATGACAGACATTATTTAAAACAGAAGTTGACAATCTGTTAATAAAAAATACTACAATATGAAAAGTTTCAAGCCAATATTTCTGAGGAACTTTTAATTAAGCAAGAAGAGTTAGGCCTGTTTCTATAATGTTCTTATGCTCTCTCTTTGCCCTCCCAATTTGAGGTGAGGTATAAGGACATGAACATTGTATTTCAATTTCTTAACTTTGTAAATAGTTTGCAAAACCTAAGTATTCTCCCCCCATGTCTAATCGAACACACCTAATTTTTTTGTATAATTGATTTTGAGGTGAGGTTTTTAAGTTATACATGATAGGTCTGGACAACACTAGATTTTTGTTTTAATGTAAACAACCATGTAAATCTACTAAAATCATCCAAGAACAAGATGTAGTATTTGTGTCTTGATATTGAGCAGATCGAAGATGGTCCCCATTAATCGGTATGAATAAATTATGAAACTAACTAGTTTGTGAAAGCGAAGAAGGAAAAGGCAATAAATGGGACTTGTCAAGTTGAAAGGCATCACAGAAG